ACACACACACACACACACACACACACACACACACACACACACACACACAAAGGCTCACTGGAGGGTTTGACTTTGTGTCTTGTTTTTTTTTAAAGCTGTTTCTTCAAGGTTCAGGACTCTGCATGGATTTCTGCTTCCAGTCATGAAGTAAGTCTGTTTGAGAATCATACTGTCACCTCATGTACTGTTTACCTACTTGTGGGAAATCGGACTTGCGGGACAGGTTTCAAGATTGTCACTTTACATATGTAAACTGCTTTTTCTCACTCAGTGTGTTGCTTCGTTATAGGTTAGGCTTTAGTCTGAACATCTGCACGTTTTAACTGTCCCACACAGCTTGTCCCACTGAAGGTGAAGGAGAGGCCTGTTGCGCGTTGAGACTCGGAGGAGGGGATCTGGCATCCATGGAGTCCAATCTATCCTGCCTGTCTTCCCTGAAAGAAGACAGCGATCCGGTTTACATCCAGCCACACTACAAAGAGTCCTACCGCCTGGCCATTTATGCCCTGCTGTGTGGAGGCAAAGAGGCCTACGAGGAGTTCCTCCGAGCCGAGCAGATCAGCCACTTTCTGTCAGAGGAAGAGATTCTGTTCATCTTTGACAATGCAGAGTTACCGGTTGAGGAGGAGGACGACCCCTCGGAGGGGAAACGGGTCACGGACGAGGCCGGCCCCTCCACCTACTTCCCCACCGAGTCGGACGAGGAGGTGCCCGACCTGGACCTGGGCTGGCCCGAGGTGTCCCTGGAGAGCGAGGACACCAGCATCAGCCTGCTGTTCAACCCGCCCCGGCAAAACACGCCGACCATCAAAGAAGTGATTCGCAAACAGATCCAGGAGGCGAGCCAGGTGAGAACACAATACTGTTGAATACTTGGAATAAACACTGTGAGAGGTGACGTCAGAGTCATGTAATCCATCGAGGGGGACCAATGGCACCGATTCATCTGCCTGTCTTTGGTGCACATGCTTCACACTGAGGACAATAGTGTTTAATAACACACAATGGAAGGTGTTGCTCTGCACAGAAGAAAATACACATCACGCTACATATTTCTCTGCATACGCAGCACATTGTAGGCCTCGTTTACTGAGGTGTAAGTAGTACTACCACATTCTAAAAATACCCCGTCACAATTAAAATGACTCATTATGCAGAATGGTTTCTTTCAAAGTCCAGTTTGTCAACATGAAGCCAATTAAAGGTACTTTGTAGTGGGTAGATTAGTAGTGTAGTACTACCCCATGTCATGAAAACATATATGTTTTTTTAAGTAAAGAAGCTCATATAAATGTATAGCGGAGTGAAAAGTACATTTGCTGTATTTTAGTGGAGGAGAAGTATAAAGCAGCATAAAGTGTAAATACTCATACAGTACAAGTATAAAGGTGAAGACGTCATAGAGCAGCGTCTCTCTGAGCAGAGGAGTCTCCCTCAGTGAGCTGTCAGCCGAGCTTCTCCTTCAGCAGTGATGTGATGGTGAAGGAGCCAGAAGTTCATCTGCGTTTCCCTCACTCAGTCATGAGCTTAGTGACAGAGAGAAAACCTTTTGTTTTCATTTTATTTTCAAAAAATCATTTTGTCTGTAATTTCCTTCTTTTTCTATTTTTTTTTTTTAAACCAGGAAATTCCTGCATTTTAGTTTCCAAGGTGCTCCATTCAAATGAAAACATGCAGAAACACATCACACGGTCTGAATAGATGCACGTCATCTGACTCAGTCCTCATGTAAGAGCCTGTGCAGCTCTCCAGGTCCTGCAGTCGCTCACTCATGGTGGTAAAATGATAATTACACGTTTATTAAGTATGATATCTGAGTGCTTCTACCACCATTAGACAGCTGTTATTGGACAGCAGATTTAGGTAAACTACATATATATATATATATATATATATATATATATATATATATATATATGTACAACATTCACTAGTTGTACAGAAAGCTGAGCAGCAGAAGTCATTTTGTGAAGAGAACGTGAGAGAGAACTGTGACTTTCAGCTGGCAGAGTACCGACTAGCAGGAGAAAGTAAGCACCTCAGGGCGAGTTAGTCATACCTCCTGTTCAAAGAATAGACGATGGAACATCTTACCACTACAGGAGGTACATTCAATAGAACAGGCTGCACGTTACTCTGCACACTGAGCTGTGATTAGAGTGTGAAAAGGTTAACGCAAAGGCCACTTCACTTTCACACACATGACATTAATCAGCCAACGTGTCTCTGCTTGAATGTTTCTCTGCACGTTGTGACGACGACCGGAGCTGAAACGAATAGTTCAGATATACAGCAGGGCGTGTGTGTGTGTGTGTGTGTGTGTGTGTGTGTGAGTGTGCAGGAGGTGAGCTTTCCCTCCACAGAGATCCAGCAGCTGAAAATGATTGATGAAATGCGTGCAGTGATGTGCACAGTTCAATGTATTCATGGATTGTAAACAATGATTAAAACTCGGTACGATCATCATTTAAGCACATACAAAAACAAAATCTGACTTCTGACATGATTTTAATGGAGCTTTTCTTTTTTGCAAAGAGAACCACTCCTCTTTTGATTTATCTATCTGATGCAACATGTCTGATTAAGGATTTACCTCGTAAAGATTTATATCTGCAGGAAGGATGAGTTAACTCTTTCACAACATGGTTAGCCTTCCTCTTCTTCTGCTGCAGAAGTATTTTTCAATCTGTTTTGAAAGGCGAGGAATCTCGAGGAATCTGGACTTTAAAATTTTTTTTAAATGTTTTAAAATAGATTTTCTTGGTAGAACTTTTGTATTGTACCTGTCACTTATATAATAACCAAATAATTTAAATAACTTTTGAATCTTTGGGACTGCATGATGTCTCTGTATTCAAAGCTTTCCCAAATCTTTATCATGTCTCCAGGTTATTGCCGTTGCGATGGACGTCTTCACTGACGTGGACATTTTCAAAGAGATCGTCACTGCCACGCTGAGGGGAGTGGTGGTCTACATCCTGCTGGATGATTCCCAGTTCAAGAGCTTCCTCACCATGACACAGAGGGTGGGCATCAACGTCCAAGACCTCAAGGTGAGGAAAACACAACATGGCCGAATCCCAAATCTCCACACTCGCAGGACTTAAAGGGCTGTTGCTGTCAGGTCGTCAACTGTTTGACGACTCTGTCGCAGACGTTTTGAGCCCTTCATGAGCACTTTCTGTTAGTCCGCATTTCTGCAAACATTGCTTGAGGGAATTACCCACAATCCATAGCGTCCATCCGACGCTAAAGACAGCCTAAGTCTGGTTTAGTGAAACAATATTCTATTTTCACACATTAAAAGCAGTGAAGTGGGACCGAAGTGTCTTTTGGAAGAAATATTCTGACAAAGCTCAGAGAAAATCTATTGAAAGTGTATTTTAGAGTCTCACTTTGGAGCAATGGGCTCAAACTATGACACATGTGTTACATGGTGTGACGGCATCACAACCCACACATTTGTTTTTTATGTTAAAATCGTTGTTCCAACAGAACAACAACTTTGGTGAAGGTTGAAAACGAAAAGCCTTTCAAAATAAATGTCAGTGTCAGTTGAATTTTATTTTAAAGGTGGCCCCACCACCATGACAGTTTTCTGTTCCTAAATCCAAATAGATTTCTCTCATTCTCAATAACAGCTGACATACCTTACAAAAATGTACTTGTTGTTGTTGGAAGCATCATGCATGGGCGGTGTCTGCGTTTCATTAAATCAACAATCCTCTACCAAACAAACACAGACGTAAATTCACCTGAGAGTAAAACGTGTTCTTCTTTTCCTGCAGAATGACGTTTGTGCTCATTCAAAATCTGATTTTAAGTGGTGGACCAACGAGTACCATTTGTGACGTCACAAATAGTTTGGAAGTCAATTCGTGGTCCAACTTGCAACTCGTACGAGTGTGATGTAGAAACTGGAAGAGACTTTGCAGTGAAGTAGGAGACGTCTAATGTCCAGCAGGACAACTTGAAATCAACACAATTTGCATATTCACGTTATTGTTCCAAGCAGACTGTTTGTATATATGTCTTATTACATGTCTGGCTTATAACATAAACAAACAGTCTCTTTAGGTTATAACTTCTACACATAGTCATTTTTTCATTTTACAAGTTTTCAGAAATGTCCTGTTTAAATATGTAAATGAGGCATTATCTTATTAAATATGTGCCAATTTGCATACATTTACAGAACATAAACGGACATAAAGCAGACATAAATATATATATATATTTATATAAATCTACAGATGTAAATAGACAAAGTAGTAAAATGAACATACTGAAAGAAGACATGAGAAGCAAAATCTCAAAATTGAAAAGCAATGTTACCTGATTTTAAAGGAACCCTGTGGATATTTTGTCCACTCTTTGAGCTGTGGATCAACATTTTTATGAGGTTCCTCACATTGTGACGTTCTGGCCAGTGGTCACGTGCTACTCCACTGATCTACAGATGGTATAATGTGCCAAGAAACAGCAATGAGCCAAAACAAAAGGCAGCAAAGAAGACTAAATAAAATGGATGAAAACAATAATAGACTTAAAATAGTTTTTTTTCTTTTTTAAACAGCCTTTTTGCATATGTCTCATGCGCAGGGAAAATGTTTTTGTCAGACCTCAAAGTTGCACACAATGTGAGAAACATGTTATTTTACCCCTTAAAACAGAATAAAGCCTAAATTCACTCCATTCATTTCCCTCAGTCATCCAAGTGAGAACTTGTGAGCAACATGAGCAACCTTTATCGACTCCCTCTTGTCTAATTCTAAATAATTCGTCTTTCATCTGATATGAAATATGAAGGAGGATTTTAAGATTTAGATATTACTGCGTAGGGTTTGATGTTGATTACTTCCTGTCTAGTCAACAAAATGGACAGAGAGAGAAGCCACAATGTACCACACATAAAATGTACAACTTGTTAAATCCATCTTCCCGCTCCTCCGCCAGTATTTTGGTATATTCGTAGTCCACCAGTGTTTCCTGCCGGAGGAAGCTTCGCCTCTGGCATTGACCTTTCTTCTATTGGCAGGAGCCTTTTAGTGGATTAAGTCTGACATTAGCTCCACACACCTGTCATTCACCAGCATTCCCCAGCCTGTCATTACCAGGCGAGGCGACTGCGGCAGCCGCAGGACAGATCTGTCAGCGTGGCTGGATGTTCCTGTTAGACAGCATCGGGACGATGTTTCGACAGTCCAAACAACAGCGAGTGAGTCAGAGTGAACACAGTGGCGGCTTTCAGATCCAATTGCTTAGCCGGTAGCCACATAAAAAAAAACCTTACTCGGAGAAGCTGACACACAGGTTTGGTCATGTTGAGGATCACAAAGGGTGTGTGTGGAGATTTCTGAACCTGGTGTTTTAATCTGAGACTGATGTTTGTTTGTGTTGGATACGTTTTAGATTCCTAAAGCTAACCGGTTGGTCAGTGAGTACAAACACTGTTCAAACATAGAAATAGAATATGAATTAGAATCAACAGGATGGACAGAGCGGCGGCCATTTTTATGTGTACTGAAGAGCGACAACTTTGTTTGGGTCATTTTCTGTAACCAGTGTAGCATTAAAGCGAGCGAGCGAGCCAGATCTATGTTTATTATGCTACACAAGTTTTGTACATCAAATACGTGTGTTTTCTCTCAACTGTTTTAGGAGCCGTTCAGATATTTCACTGTTTACTTCTTATAAATTTGTGGTTATTTTTCTCATAAATTCTGACTTTATTTCTCTGAATGTTATCCTCCTCCTCCTGCTCTGTATCCATTTTTTTTTTTACATACAATGGCCCTAATACGCCGTTGTACTGACACCACTCATTGTCTGCTGAATGAAAGTGTAAATAGGAAACTGTTTGGCCTATCAAGTTAAAAAGTGATAATATGTCAATGTTGTGTCCACAACTTGTTTCTGCTGCCCCCAAGTGGCCAAAAACATGTTATGCAGGTGCACATAAAAACACGTTTACTGATTTAAAAACACAAAAGTTGACTTGTTTCTTTTTTCTGGTTCTAACCTTGTGACTCCGTTTGTTTGTTTTCTCCACCAGAACATCCGTGTTCGGACGGTTCATGGGCAGCAGTATCAGTGTCAGTCCGGGGTGAAGTTTCGAGGAGATTTGGAGCAAAGATTTCTTCTGGTGGACTGCCGAACAGTGTTGTATGGAACATACAGGTGAGTCAGTCATACAAGTACAGTCAACAATAAAATCAAAACAGAGGCCGTTATTTATTCTTGAGTCCACCTGTCAGGCTCAATACCTCAAATTCTCCTGATTTATTTTAAGGCAATTTGGTGCCACTTTGTTTTGTCGTTCATCTGTGGTTTTGGCGAGGTGCACTAATAAAGCAGTTGCAATGCGTCCCGCAATTCCTGCAAGAAAGTTGCAGAGTTGTTCATCATCATCATCATCTCTGCTGGCTCTCTGATGACTGAATTTTCCTTTTCAGCTACACGTGGTCGTTTGAGAAGATGAACCTCAGCATGGCGCTGGTGATCACCGGTCAGCTGGTCGGCTCTTATGACGAGGAGTTTCGCAGACTGTACGCTCGCTCTACAGTTCCTACCATCCTGTCCAGGGAGAGGTTATCTGTAAAGTACCTGAGAGACACTGTGGTCCTACAGAGCCCCAAGTCCAGCCAGCTCGCCCTCCACCAACTTCACATGCGACCCAGAGTGACGCACGGCATGAGGAGCGCTCAGGGCGACAGGTTCAACAACGCCGCCGTCATGAACCGGGGCCTGAGCGTGCAGGAGAGGCTGAATCAGTCTCACTGTTTCGACATGGGGAATTTGCTGCGGGGACACAGCTATGGCGGAGAACTGCAGAAGTTAAACTCCCTGACTCAGCTGAGGATGGGGACCAAGGACATCGGAGTCCCTTTCGCTCCGGAGAAGACGGGACCTAACCCGAGGGGGGGCGGCGACTTGCTGCTACCAAACTTGTCTCAGCACCACCTCAGGCACCAGACTCGCTACGGAGCGGACCAGAATCTGATCCCGTTCAACTCTGAAACCTCCCTCCACAGGTGGAAGATGGACACGTACTTTAACGACAGCGAAGTGCCTCTAGATGCATCGTGTGACGCGATAATGGCAATGACATCTCCGTATAGCAGTCACACAGGCTTAAACGATCATCAGTCGCAGCTGATTCACAACAGGCCAAGGGACATCAAGTTCAGGATGGAGGAAATGAGGCAGAAGAGGCTCAGTCTGCAGGAGTACACCAATCACAAGCAGAGCCAAGAGTCCTTGAGGTCTGTGTATCAGACTCTGGAAAGACCTAAATATAAGCGGGGTCTGGACATGAGGCAGAGTGTGGCAGAAGTAGAGCCAAAAGCGCAAAACGAGTACAGCCTGGAACCGGCCAACCCCAAAGACAGTGAGCCAAGTAAGGAAGTCGACAAAAGAGAGCAAACTCTCACCGATGGCCAGCGCTCTGCCTCCTACTACGACGTTGCAATGGCTCCAGATCGCAGGACAACGCAGACATACGACTGGCACGAGCCTCTCTCCAGGACGACCTCCGCTGCTGATTTCGAAATGACACTGAACGATCCATTGCTCAAGCTCTCTCATCTGCAGCCCAGCGGTCTCCAACACCCAAGAGCGATGGAGTCCTTGACTGAGATCCCAGAAGAGAAAGGAGAGGGCTCACGCGTCAACAGTTCGGACTCGGCTGTATTCAAAGACGGATGTGAGGAGATTTGCAAAGACGAGAAAGCTGTTCCAAAGGAGAACTCTGTTAAATCCAGCGTACCTGCAGAATCACAGCTCAAGGGTCAAGCCGGAGGAAGCCTCGGCTCTACAGGAAAGGCAGCCAACAGCTCAGGCTCAGCTGCTCCACGGGAGAGAAAGAAATCAACATCCAATGAGGTACAAACTGTCCCCAAAATCTTAAACCCTTCTGCAGGATCTCAGCACTCACTGGAAGCTAAGAGTGGTCACGCGGACAAAAAGAAAGCACAGCACCAGGAGCCGCCCCTTCAAAGAAAGAGTTCCCTGAGGATGAAAGTATCTTCCATGCTTTCACAAGACGAAAAGAAAGCGCACAAGAAAGACGAGAAGTCCCTCCAAAGAAAGGCGTCGCTGAGATCGCAGAGCTCCTCGGTGTCGAGCCAAACTCGCAGAGCGGACTATTCGCAGGCACCCGCGGCAGAGCAAACGACCAAGAAAGGTCAATCGGCGAGCACCTCCAGGTCACAGAGCTCTCTCAGCGGCCCGTCGGAGACGGAGAGGCAGAAGTCTCCGTTCCCGAGATTATCTCCTCAGCGCTCAAGCAAAAAAAAGCCGCCGAGCCCCGCTGGGGAGCAGGAGCAAGGCTCGAGGAGCGCTTTGGACGTCAAGGGAGCGACCGTCTATCCCACCAGGAAAGAGAGGAAAGTCTACAGTCGATTCGAGTATTTGCTTAACAATGAAAGTCTTCCTCTGGATAAATTGAGCGTGTCGCCCTCGGAGAGAGACGGACGCTCCTCCCTGAACAAGCATGCCTCTATGGATCAGACACAAAGTGCGACTGACAACAAACTCGGACGATTCATACAGCGAGTAGGAAATCTAATAGGCAAGAACAAGTAGAGCCGCAGGACGAGAAGACGGCTGTCACACTGTAGTTTATTTTGACTCAATCACACACACACACACCGTCCTGCTCACTAGAGCACCAAATGGGGATTAATCCGCTACTAAAAATAGTCCACAATAAATCCACTACTTGCTCCTGTTTGTCTGATGAAAACCACAGTGACCTACTGTTTTAGGAAATTACTGAGACCTTTATTTAAATATGAAACTATGTATTTTGACCATGCTTTTTTAAAAAACTATCTATAATAGGAAGAAATGGATTGGAAACACCATTGACATCATTGTTGGTTTTTGCACTTTTCATTTAATTTGTTGAACATAAAACCAAAAAAAAGTAATATCACCAACCTTATCCTTTCATGTACTTTTGCATTGTCTCATTTGTGAAATATAGTTTTTGTAACACGGCTTGATGTTGTACATTTTCTCATGTTTTGACGACTTTGACACATGGAGGATATTCATGTGTGAAGCATGTGTGGCTGTAACACGGAGAAATGAAGATGTAAACATACAATATAACCACGTTGACTAAACGGAAATGTAGCCTTAAAACCAAGAGTTCACTGGGACCAATGAACTCTTGGTATTTGTTTTAATGTGACTCTCGATTAATAACTTTATCACCGTAAACAGGTTTTATTGGTCCTATAGTGATGTAATAGTCTCTTTGAAGGTTGATCACAGTGAAGTCTGTTGACTTCAATGCATGAAGCAGCACTAGCCTTCATTCTCTAACACCTGGGCACATGAAAGGGGGATTGTCTGCATAATAGGAAGTTACCACTAGGGGTAGTAAACTCAATGTTGGATAAAACAGCAGTATAGAAAACAATCACACCTCATGGTAGGCCTGTCACGTTAACTCCTTTTGTTGTGCAATATATTGTCCCCGTTGTAATTGCGATGAGCGATATTATTGTAATTTTTAACACCATTTTACACCCCAGATATAATGATGATAATATAGCATAATAATGCCGGTATACCCTTAAAAATAACAATGAACTTTTCATTTTTAAATATATTCAGACTTTGGAATTATAAAAATGATTAAAATATCCAAAATGAATAAAACATGAATGAAATAAAAACCACACAACCAAAACAATAAATCAAATGGTCTGTTGGCCTCGGTAAACAAAAATGTTGGGCCATGTCTGGGAAATGCCAAGTCTAAAATGTTGGAGACATTCTTATGTAAATAAACACACACAGCACACAATAAAGTCTCTTGTGTCCTATTTTGTGAAGAGATGGAAAGTTTAGCTGAGAAACGCTTGTATACAAAAGGACCTCTCTCAGACTACAGAGTCACAAGACTTAAGATCAGCAGCCACACCAGCGGCCTCAAGAGGATGTAATTATCATTAAACTCCAGAAAGTAAAAAACACTGACAAGATTAAAGACGGAAAGACAATTTCTTTGCATTAGTGAAACAGCATATTGTAGCTTTGTTCTCTAAAACACTTTAATATATTTAAGTAATTGACAACAAAACTTCTTTGCACATTGAGGGTGTATACCTTTATTTTGAAATAACTGAAAAATATCTACAATCCGTATGATAATAATCCTGCAAATGTGGGACTAATAAAGTATCAACATAATATATAAAATAAAAAGCTATTCAAGCTGGTTTTCATGCTTTTATTTGTGTGGAAGTGTGTTTCTCATGTTATAAAACAGAGAGGGTTTCTAGATGAAATACTCCAGACACTTGTTCCTCTCATCGTCCAGTTCTTGAGTCTCAATCTCAAACTTTTTCATGGCGATGAAATACTGAATGAACGGCTCTCCGAGGGTGCTGCGGATGACGTGGTCCTCCCCCAACGCCTCCAGAGCGTCGTCGAGCTTCACGGGAACGGCGAAGTCCTTCTGCTGACAGGGGGCTCTGTTCAGACCGCCGTCAAAGTTCAGGTTCCTCCTGATGCCGTCCAGTCCCGCGGCCACAGTAGCGGCCAGCACGATGTAAGGGTTGGCCATGGCTGAGCCCAGCTTGTTGTCGATGTGCGTCTCCCTCCCGCCGTGACACTTGATGTTGAAGGAGCTGCTGTTGTCGTTGCAGCCGCATGTGGCGTACAGCATTCGCTTGGGGTCTTTGATCGTCTTGGCCATGTGGCTCCGGCAGCTCAGGCCGGGCGACATCAGGCAGCTCAGGGCAGCAGAGTGGGTGAGGAGCCCGGCCAGCCATTTCCTGCCGATCTCAGATAGCTCGCCAGCTTTCTCCCCGTTGAGAAAGAGGCTTCGTCGCCCATTTGCGTCCCACAAGCTGTGAGAGAGCACCCCAGCGTTGTACAGCCCATCGTCGGTGAAGAAGCTGGCAATGTAGCTGTGTTTTCGAGCCATCTCTTTGATGCCGGTGCGGAAGGTGAAGGCGCTGTCTGCCGCGGCGATCCCAAACTCTGGCCTCAGGTTGATCTCCATCTGGCCGGGCCCGCTTGCGGACGCGATGCTGTCTATGTCTGCGCCCATGCAGTACATGCTCTCCACCAGCTGCTGGAAGAAAGGCAGGTCGTGGTTGCCGAGCAGGGTGGTGGCCGGGAACAGGAGGGTCTTTGGTCCGATCCGGTCCGGCGATCCGAGGACGCAGCACTCATAGGTGAAGGACGAGTGCAGGGAGAACCCAAGGCTTTGGAGCTGGCCGAGGAGCTGCTTGGCGATGAGACGAGGCGAAGTGCGGAGGGGGCTTCCTGTCACCGTGCAGGGGTCGCAGACGACCCGGGCGGTCTGCTCGGCCCAGGGTAAGACCCTGAAGGTCGACAGATCAGGGATCAGAAGGATGTCACTGCTGAAGTTGGCGGTGCTGGCGTTGTCCACTTCGTTGCTGTTAGGACTCAGGGTCAGCTCCAAGTAGTTTCTCGGCATCGGTACCCCATACACCGCTTTCTCCTGTGGATGCAATGTTTGCATTGAAGCATTAATTTAACATTTTTTTGGAAATATACCCTTTTTGAGACTAAAGGCCTTCACACAAATGAACGAAACAAAAACACCATGGATAGATAGATAGATGGATGGATGGATGGAAGGACGGACAGATAGATGGACAGATAGATGGACAGATAAAGAGGTGAGGTGATTACGTGGAAGAAGCGGACAGGCACTGTCTTGGACCTGGACACCCCGTGGAGGTCGGTGGCCTCAAAGCGGACAAAGTTGATGTTTTCTCTGGCGATCTGCTGCTTGATCTGCTCCATGGCTGCAATGAACGTCTGGTTCCCAAAGATCTCAACAGTCTCGTGTCCGTTATCTGTAGAAGAGTCCATCCCATGTTTAGTATTTCTAAAACTCAAAGCCCCAGTGGCATCAAGAGCTGATATTTGCTTATTGCGGATATATATATATCTGTGTCTATGTCGACCAATAATAACTTGCAGTTTAGCAATGCCAAACTGGGTTTGAAAAAATGTAGAACCAATGTCCCCAGTACAGAGTTCGTCCAACAGAAAGCACTGATGAATTGAATTTTACAGCATAAAATCTCTTGCTCAGGACATATCTTGGTCACAGTTAAATTAATAATAAGTACGAAGATTGCCCAACATATTGCTACTATATATTTTTTGTTTATTGCCGAATAATACATGAGTATCTGCCTCAAAAATCCAGTATTGGTTGGGCTGTAATACTGTGGGCAGAGAAAACAAAACTCAAAATAGGCAACAAACCATAGATCCAAATAAACCTAACGATTAAGGAGTCTCTTGGGGATGAAAATAAGTTTTGAACCTTCAGCTGGAGATCAAGTTAACTCTACAAAACTGACAAATCAATTAAAAAGACCACAAGTAAAAGAAATTATATATTTTTTAGGTTTAATTTAAGAAGTCAATTTCCATCAATAACTGTATCCAGGTTCAGTCCAGTTTAAAACAGGAACTGGAATGAGACAAAGATGGAGACAAGAGCATCTTTAACGTATGTCCTCACAGAACTGAAGCTATATTTACTCTATTTGCTCTATATTTACTCTATAAGAGAAGATATGTTTTAAACTACATCTGGGATAAACTTGTCTTTTAACCAGAGATTCACCAACCTGTACGAGGAGCTCCAGTCTCTCCCCAGGATCCGTCGCTTGCATATGTGTTGTCCCTAACTCCAGGCTGCCTATTTGTGTTGTTATCGGACCTGACTGAGCTGGATGAATCCACGGCGGAAGGCTGCTGAATAGATGTGCCTTCTCTGGACCTGGGCCCCCTTCTGGAAGCCTCAGACTGGGGTTTGAAGGTGCTGAACGTCCTGTTGGGGTTCCCATCGTCCTGTCGAGCGTCGGGCCTTCCACCACCACCACCACCTCCAGCGCTGCTGCTGCTGCTTCCATGCAGGTACGTGTAAGGACTCCCTGGCTTCACGTTGTCTCTTCCCCGGATGCTGAGCAGAGGACTGTCCCTCAGGAGGGTCTTCAGCTCCTCCATGGTCTGCCGGGGGACGCCCGAATCACCGTAGGACACGCCGGTTTGAGAGGACGGCTCTGTGGTCCAATCCTCCCCGATGGCAGGTTCTTCCATCCTGGGATCATCAACTGGCTCTGGGGCCCTGTGAGGCAGGGGGCCGATGGCGATCACAGTGGGGACGTCTGGAGGTAAAGGAGTGCTGGTGGGAGAGTGGACGATGGATGGACCTCCTCTTCTGCTGCCCCAATCCACCCGAGGTACATTTTTCCCCGTCACCCTCACCCCCTTCCTGGTGCCCTGCAGGCTCATCCTTGTGCCATCTATTTGGTCTTTGCTTCTACTCTGGAATAACAAAAGAAAAGTGTGTTAAGAGCTGGTCAAGTTTGCATGAAGAGTGTGAGCATTCACATTAAAAAGGCACAACCAAAAGTCAAATAAAAACAAACAATATATCTGAAGCCAAAGCTGCTGTATCTAGTCACACCTTTGTGCTGAAGATACAAAAGAGGAAGTTAGATGTGGAGTTGTTACCTTGAAATCTTCCGAGTCATTCATGTCTTTGTTTGGATTCTTTCATGAACTGTGATTTGGAATTTGATAGCCTTCCTGTGAAGGCAGAGCTTCACTCGCACATGAATCTTTATAGACAATTGGTTCAATGGTGACGGATTGGAAAATTCTCTTTGCCCCCTGCACCCCCCCAACACCCACGGGAGTCCGGCTGGAAACTGGCAGCGGCCGGCCTGCTGGTGGACTCGGAGCTGCCGCTGCTCTGACCTCATTGGCTGCCCGCGAGGACAATTCAGAGTTGCTTTTGTGTCGTTGCAGAGTGAAACTGCAGAGCTCAGCGGCTCTGCTCGTGCTTCCAGAAAGATATGGGAGCAAAGTATTTATTCCAGAGAGATGAAACCGCACGACTACGAGGACCAGACAATGGCTCCGGTCTATGTTGTTTATCCTCGTGGAATTACATTTTCTACAAGACAATTTCACCAAAAGGGTCCATTCTGTTCTTGATTGTTCTATCGTATTGCACAGTCTTCATCAGGAAGTTTAAATCTCAAAGTTTAAGCCAACGTGAGTGAGAAGTCCTTTAGGCTCTCAGAAAAATGCATGACGACTGACTAAACTCCATCTGATGATGAAGAAGTGAAACATAATATATATTATGTTAATTATACATAATGAAATTAAGTTCAAGAGCATCACAAACCGCAGCCTCAAAAATGATCATAGAGGCAAATCAACACCTCGTTAAAACAAAAGGGTTATCAAGAGGTCAGTGAGTCATTAATAAAGGGTCCCGGGGTTCTTTTAAAATAGGCCAACATACAGTAACAGACTGCACATATACCTATGGGTTTATCTTTAATAAAGAGTTCATAAAACATGTTTTCGAGTCAGATACTCAGCAGCTCTTTTCCAGAAGTGGCTGAAAGATTTTAAAACAAAACAGATATGAGGTAATGCTGAAAGCAGATGAACGCCCTGAACAAAGGATCGGTAACTTTGTTTTACAGTAATTTCCGTTTGGAGCTAATTATGCAGAAATCAGAATTCCCTCAAAAGAGAACAGCTTCCTTGAAAGCCAAATGAATATTCATGTACTATTCCCTCATAACTGGAAGCTCCGATATCTTCATGTATGTTGAATGAGCTCTGTGCATTTATAGCTGACGAATAGACTCTCCAGGTTATCCTGCAGCTAACTGGAACTGATCTATTGGAGGTGAATATACTAAAGGACCACTGTCTCTATTAACCTACACACACATCTCTCCAGGAGCCTTTTGGGAAGATAAAAAAGTCAAGTGTTACCAAAGGACTTTTTTTTACAACCCAGAAGTTTGTTGCTGATGTATTAGCAACATAAATCAATTATTTATTAATCTTTAATGAAGTCATAATTTACAACTTACAACTGTAAGAAATGCCTTATTGGAAAGCGGTTCCAATATAATTCAAGTTTTACTTGAAATTCCTTAAATACTTTTATATATTTAGCAAACTACCACTGCTGCTAGTATTCTCCTCATACTACTACATTTGCTTTGCCTCTATTACAATTCCCCTTCTGAATCGGCTTCCGTCTTCTACTTCTGTGCGCTGCTACAGGCATTATACAGTTATTATATATTTATTATACAGTTATTATAT